CCCCTGCAAGGAATGAGGGCAGCCCCATGATCACATGTGTGACCTGGGCCAGGGAGGGTCCTCAAACCACGGTCATGTGATGGGGACGCAGTGCTGGACAGGAGTGGCCTGGGTGTGGCCCCCGCGACGGCGGCTGGCCTGGACGTAGGTGCCACGGGGGATGCAGACGTGCCAGGCTCCCACGGAGCATCCCAGGGAGGGACAGCTAGGAGGGGCGCTTCCGGGGCCATGGGCACCCAAGGATGGACACTGCCAGCGACACCAAGCATCCTGGGAGGAACAAGGAGCACGGGCACGTGTGTAGGTTCCCCGGGGCCCTGTCACAAATCATCACAAACTGGGGCGCTCAGACCAACAGAAATGCTCTCTCGGTGCCGGGCGCCAGGGGTCGGCTCGAGGCATCACCAGGGCCGCACGCCCTCTTCCAGCTGCTGGCTGCTGGCGACCCAGGAGTTCCTGGCCTGCAGACGAGTCACTTCAGCCTCTGCCCTGTCATCACGTGACCACCTCCTGTGTCTCCTCATGAGGACACCGGTGACATTGGTCAGGGCCACCCTAACAGCCGCCTGTTAACTAATACCATCTGCAGACCCCGTTTCCACATGAGGCCACAGAGACCAGTGGTCAGGGCCCCAAAACGCATTGAGCAATCAGTAGGGGGCAGTCACTGGTTCAAGCGGTGTCACCTCATTTAACCCTCCCACAGCCCTAAGCGACGAAGACCGTTACGACTGGCTCCCGTAGGTGCACAGTGGGACCAGGGTTCAAGCTCAGGCTCTTGGAGACCAAATTCCAAAGTGAGGGCGAGTGGAACTCCATGGCCCGTGCCATAGTGACACTCACAAAAATTATTTCAAACAAAAACAGCCATTCGGAGCCTCTGGAAACAGTCCTGAGGGCAAGCAGCAAATGCAACGTCAAGAGAATGAAGGCCCAAGTCCGCTGTGTGAGCCTAGACCCCCGAACCCCAGTCCCAGCTCGGGGAGGAGCCCCGCTCCGGAGGCTGCAGCTCGCAGCCAGGGCGTTCCCTGGGAGAAGGGGCTTCAGTGTCTCTCACCCGGCCCCCAGCCGAGTGGGGTTGGGAAGAGGGCCACCTTCTCCCGCCCCGCCCCACTCGCGGTGCACGAAGAATACTGGGACCCCAACATGTTACCCTGCCTCCGGAGGGGGGCTCATGCCAGGAGAGGCCAGCAGGGGGACCGCGGCCTGTCGCCTCCCCCTCTCTCCACAGAGCGCTAGCTTTGAGAATGGGGGTCACTGGAGAAAGCGGCTTGCCACTGTCCCCACCCGGGTCCAGAGCTCCTGATTTCTTCCCAAAGGATCTGACTTCGTTTACAGCAGAATGTGAAGAAGTTCAGGCCTAAAAGTTGCCCTCAAGAGCAGCGGCGGTTGTGCTGAAGGAACATGGGTCCAGTGAAGGCGGGCCTGGGCTGCAGGGGAGAGCTGGGGCACAGGACTGACACGGGAGCCCGGCTGGGTCAGAACCAGTGTCAGGCTCGGCCTCAGAAGCCCCAGTTCGATCGGATCTGTTTGTAGAGGAATTTATGCCCCAGAACGTTGTTGAGAACAGCAGAATAATCATGATATTAGGCATTATCAGTGGGGTGTGGTCAGGGAAAGAGAGTCCTACAAAAACCTCTCATCCCAGGGTGATGGCTGGTACCCAAGCAGGCCTCCCTAGGGAGCAGTGATGGCAGAAAACCATGGGAGGGGAGAGACTTCACTAAGATAATCCAGCCAGTCGTTAAACAAATAAACAAGCAAACATCAATAACAAGCCCCAGACTGGGGGGCAGGGATATCAGTACCCAAAGATGCTACAGTATATTTTCTAAAATGTCCAGTTTCCAACAGAAAATTATGATGCATGCAAAAAAGCAGGAAACCGTGACCCACATGTTCTAAAAAAAAACAAAAAACAAAAAAAACAAACCCAGCAGGCAACAGAAACTGCCTATGACAGGGAGCAGATGTTGGATTTAACAGAAAAGTACTTCAAAATATCCACTATAAATGTGTTCACAGAACTAAAGGAAAGCTTGATTGAAGAAGTAAAGGGATGTATGATAATAATAAATGTCACATCAAGTAAGCACTATCAATAAAGATATATAAACTATGAAAAGGAGCCACACGGAAACTCTGGACTCAAATGGCACAACTGAAGTAAAACATTCACTAGAGGCACTCAACTGTCGATGTGAACCAGCCGAAGAAAGACTGGTGAGCCTGAAGATGGTGGAGATCGTGGAAGCTGAGAGCAGAGACTAGAATGAAGAAACATGCATGAAGCCGGCCTCAGAGAAATGGGGCGCTGTCAAGCGCACAAGGCATGCTGGGACTTCTAGAAGGAAATGAGAGAGAGAAAGGGAAAGGAGAAATAGTCAAAGAAACAATGGTTGAAAATGTCACAGGTTTGGGCCAGCCAAGTGGCGCGATGGTTAAGAACTCGCTTGGGATGCCAGAGGGCCCCGGTTCGGATCCCACATATGAGGGCCAGTGACACTGCCCTCTACAGCTAAGATGCTGAACAACGGCTCGACCTGGAGCTGGGCTGCTGTAAGTCACTGGGGATGGCATAGGCTGCAGCCCCTGTGGCAGTGGGGTGCCATGGGCTACCGTGTGTAGCCAGCAGCCAGCGTGAGCGGCCAGCAGCCACAGTGAGCGGCTGTCCAGAAGCCGGCGACTGATCTGCCTCACCCGGGAAGAGCGCAATGATGGTGCCAACTTGGGCCAGTGAAGCAACATCCTCCACAACTAGATTGAAGAACAAAATGACAGCAACTTGTCTGTCCCCCTTCCCCCAATTCCCCAGCACTGTTCCCATCCCCCCAATTCACCAATAAAAATCTTAAAAAAAAAATGTCACAGGTTTATTGAAAAACAATAACCTGTAGGAAGCTCAATGAATGATAAATGCAGAGACCCACCAACCGACACCTCTTAGTAAAAATGCTGAAAATCAAAGATAAAGGGAATACCTTGAAAGCAGCAAGAGTAAAACGAGGTGTCACGTACAAGGCAACCTCCAGAAGACTCTAGTGACTTCCCAGCAGAGACAATGGAGGCCCAAAGGCATTGGGTAACCAAGAGCCCTGTACTCAGCAAAGCTACATCTTTCAAAAATGAGGGTAAATGAAGACTTTTCCAGATCAACAAAAACTGGTAACTTGTTTTTAGCAGAACCACCTTATAAGAAATACTAAAGGAAGTTCTTTGGGCTGAAAGCAAGTGACCCCAGACAGAGATTGAAAACACAGAGTTCCCAGTAAAGATAATTCTATGATTTTTATAAGACAGTACAAATGTATATTTTTCTCCTTTCTTCTCATAACTGATTGTAAAAGCAATTATATTCAATAATGTGTATATATAATGTAAAAACTATAATTAATAGAAGTGTAATTTGTGTACTATATTTGCCAATAACACAAAAGAAATGGTGGAGCAAAGCTGTATTGGATATGGAAATGGCTACAGATGGCAAAGTAATAACTGTTACAACGTATTACTAGGTTTGTGAGATTACTATTTGTAATAGGTCTAACATAATACCATAAAAGAGGACAAGGGAATAGACCCATATAGGACTAATATTTACATGTATCAGTGGCATTAAGCTAGTACAGATCTGAAGCCAATTGTGATGTTCATGTACATGGTAAACCCTAGAACAACCATTAAGAAAATAACTAAAAAAAAAAAGTTAAAAATCATTAAGAAATTAAAATACATTATAAAATATTCACTTAACATAAGAAAAAGCAATAAAGTAGGAAGAGTGGAACAAAAAAGACATGAGAAAAATAGAAAACAAGAAAGTAAAATGGCAGATGTGTGAGGTGTGATCACAAAATATGGTGAATATTTAAATTTTAAAAATTATTACAGTAAAAGACACATTGCCATTAATCCCCCTCAAAATAGTCCCCCTCACTTCACAACACACTCATCCCTTCATTCTTGCCACTTCCTGAAGCAGTTCTGGAAGTCCTCTTTCTTGAGTGTCTTTATTTGTGCTGTCGTGGCTGCCTCGATGTCCTGAATCAATTCAAAACGTTGACCTTTCATGGTCATTTTGACTTTGGGGAAGAGCCAGAGGTCGCACGGTGTCAGATCCGGTGAATAAGGTGGATGAGGACACACCGTCATGTTTTTATTGGACACAAATTGTCACACCAGAAGCGATGTGTGACACGGAGCGTTGTCATGATGGAGGATGATTTTCAGCACACTTGAAAACACACCTTCTCTCAACCGTAGCTCACACCCGACTGACTGCACCGAACAGGTTGAAACTTGTCACACACTGTTACTAAGGTTGGATGCACCGTTTCCCATATTGAAGATCCTGCCTTTCCATTGGATGGCACTTGGCAGCAGCATTCACCGTATTTTTTGATCACGCATCGTGTATCCAATATCAATAAGAAACCAAGCAAAGGCAGAGGTTATCAAATTGGACCAAAAAAAAAAAA